TGGAAGGACTGATGCTGAAGCTGAAACTCCAATACTTTGGCCACCTCATGCGAAGAGTTGACTCATTGGAAAAGACCCTGATGCTGGGAGGGATTGGGGGCAGGAGGAGAAGGGGACGACAGAGGATGAGATGGCTGGATGGCATCACCGACTCAGTAGGCATGAGTTTGAGTAAACTCCGGGAGTTTGTGATGGACAGGGAGGCCTGGCATGCTGCAATTAATGGGGTCGCAACGAGTCGGACATGACTGAGCGACTGAACTGACTGAACTGATTCATTCATTCAATCTGTCCCCCAGGCACTTCTCCTTCTGTTGGTCTTGTGAATGTTCTTCCCCAGAGCTGTGTCCTTAGGCACATTCTCTTCTCAAGTTAGACATTTTGTCTGATTGATTTTGTTACCGTCCCAACACCTCATATATCTACATTTTAGAACTCTCTCCTGAACTCCAGGTCATAATGATCTTCAACATTCCACCATATATCTCCCCTTGGATATTTCATAGTAAACCTCAAAGTCAGCATGTCCAAAACTCAACTCAGCTTTGGGGATAAAATCTGTATTCCTTAGTCCAGGAAGTGGTATCACCACTCATTCAATTCTCCAGTTTAAACTTCTCCCTCTCATCCATTGCCCCCACCCTCTACCCCCCAATCAGTCACCAGATCCTATACATTCTATTTAGGACTTCATCAGTTTATACCCTCCATTCTATTTCCATTGTCAGTGCTTTAATCAGGCTCTTAGCATTTCCTAATTGCTTAGATTCCCAACTATTTTTTCTATGTCTAATCTGGACTTATCTATCTTCCCCACTGCTGCTAGAGTAGTCATTCTAAAATATATAACTAATCAAATTATTGCTAGAAATCCTTCAATGGTTTCTCATAAAAGGTAAAGGTCAATTTCCTTAATAGAATACTTGGTATACAGATTGCCTAGTTTTCTAGCAGTGGCTCCCAAATTTCTCCCTGAGCACACGTCTCTCCAGACAAAACATCTTATGGTCCTCTAAATTCCATGCTCTTTTATGGTTTCTGTTCATCAGCTATGCTATTTTTTCCTCCTTCTGCCTAACTTCTTTATTTAGTTAGCTCCTACTCATCCTCCCAGATTTAGTTTGTGCACATCTTCAGAGAATACTGTGGAGCTTTATACCAAGGTCACAGGTGTGGAGCTTATACCTCCTTTACTAGAAAAACACCCTACTTTCCTTAAACAACCATGAACTGTCCTTTATATTATCTTTCTGTAGATTGGTGAAAATAACCAGTGATAACTTCTAAAAACATTTCCTTTCTTATAGGGAACATCTCAGGATGGCACCAAACATATTCATTAATAGTTCAAAATATCTTTAATTTCTCTGTAAAAGGAAACCAATGTTTAGTAATTAATGTTTCAGTATCTTATTTTATTTTGGAGTGACCTAGATATTTAAGAAACTTCCAACACTTAATTTAACACAACTCTAGAAATTCAAGTTACCAAAATCTGGAGAGACTAAAACAAAATTATTTTTAATAGAGTTTTCCTAAAAACTCATCTCACATTTTCTTTCCTTAAAAGTTTATTCACACTGAGTTGCTTCCCTTATGGACAGATTTTCAACAGATAAAATAAGCTCTTCTTTAGTTTATATTAAACTTAGGTACAATAAAAGTATTATGCTTAATGATGATTCTTAAGATAGGTCTATATTAATTAGATCAACAAACATTAAATACCAGGTATTAATTTAATATTGACTATTCCCCATTCACATGAACCTGGAATTCCTTTAACTTAATTTCTCTTGTATTTAGAATTGTTTGATTTATAGGTGCTTACTTTCTTTAGGCCAATTAAATTAGAGCTCATTTACAAATTAACCTCAAAAATAAAAATTAAAAAAAAAAACAATTAACCTCAGCAATATTATCCAAAGACTAAGACATACACTGAGACATACATAAATCCAGAAAGACAGAGATCTAATCTTATAGTTTTTCGCTTGAGATTTAAAATGTCTCTTTGTCCCTTTTTTCCCTTGACTTGAAGTTCTACCAATTTACCAAAGGCTGAAGTCTCAGACAATGTGGGCTGTGCATCTCAAGGACATGATAAGAGTTAACTTCAGGCTTTTCCTAGGCATATTTCTGTTTAACAAGCTAGCTTTTTCTAATTGTACATGTTAGGAAAACTGGTTTTGTAATTTCAGAAAGATTTCACTTTAACCAGTTTTCTCTGGAGTCTAAAGAATATCATGGTCATACTGTTTTTTCCCCTTCTGTGGTTATGGTCTAATAGCTAAAATTTAAATTAGAGTACTCCAATCAGCTCTGTTAACAGGGACAGACTGACTGATAAAATGTTGTCCTACCCGGAAGGTGAGCGGAGCCCGGGTCGACGGCGGGTGGAACGTTAGCGGGCCATCGGGCGGTGATCGTCGTTCTACCGAGACCTTGATGTCGGAAGATAGAAATGGTAGAATAACGTACCCCTTGTGGCCAACAGAAAGTGCCCGCCGCCCTCTGGGAAGATTTACTGGCCGCTGATAGAAGGCCTGTGTATATAATATGAAAAAGCTGCTCTCAACTTTACCCCCAACCTTTCAAAAGAAAACTTTCACTACATCTAGGCCTCCTAGATGTAAAGAGGTTGCCGACGTATGATAAAATAGTTAGAAAAATCACGTCTTGTAAATGCCCATTTGTTTAAAAAAAAAACTATAGAAAAGAAATGTCTTCTGGAAATGACTGTTTCGAAATGGAGTTGTTTGATTACCTCTAGAAGCAACTTCCGGAGCCACCGAAGTACCCGTTTGTTCAGTGGGTTGGAGGACGTGTAATGGAAGACCTTGAGGAGGAGGAATAGAAAGCTCTATGCCAGACTGGTCATACTTAGAAGACATTTTTATATAACCATTGTTGTGTGTGTGCATTTTATTCCTCACTACTGTATATATAGTTGACAATAAGTACTTTTTTAAAATACCTAGTCTTTCTAGATGTTCTGAAGTGCCTGATGTATGTTAAAAGTCGAGGTAGTAAAAAGACATTTTGTAAATACCTTTTTGTTAAAATTCACACGAATTGTTGGGGAGTGGGGGGATTGGCCAGACCACTTCCTGGAGCAGTACACTTTGTGTTTTGTGCACTGGTTCAAGGTCGGGGTGTTGGGGGAGAGGGGAGGGAAGTGCAGATCTCTGTGCCAGTGTGTTTATAGTGAGGCAAGAGTAACCATTGTCTTTTCTGTTAGTGCATTTTGTTTCACTTTGCTGTGTATATATAGTGTATATAATGGACAAATGAGTCCTAATTTACAACATCTAGTCTTTCTAGATGTTAAAGAGGTTGCCAGTGTATGACAAAATAGAGTTAGTAAATAATACATTTTGTACATTTTATGTTTAAAGTTTCTAGGAAAGATTGTCTTCTGAAAATTTGAGCATTATAGCCCCCTGGGTATAGTGGAGAGAGGAGAGAAGAGAAGGGAAGGGTCTTAGGCTAGAATCCTCATATTTTGAAGACAATTTCAAGATTATAACTGTTACATGTGGCAGTTTATTCAAGACTGCTTTGTATATAGTGGACAAATTAAGTCCTTATTTGAAACATCTAGTCCATCTAGATGTTTAGAAGTGCCCGACGTATGTTAAATGTAGAGGTAGTGAATACCACTTTGTAAATAACTTTTTGCTCAAATTCATACGAAGTACTGTCTTTAAGAATGTTAAATGTTAAACCACCTCTGTGAGCAGTATACTGTTGTCTACACTTGTTCAGTGGTTTGGAGGAGGTGGGAGGGAAAGAACTACAAAAGGTAATATGCTAGTTGTTTGCACTTGGACATTTTCAGATGAAACCATTTTTTGTATGTTATGTGCATTTTGTTTTGCTGTGTATATAGTGTATATAATGGACAAATGAGTCCTAATTTTGTGACATCTAGTCTCTAGATGTTAAAGAGGTTGCCAGTGTATGACAGTAGTAAAATTAGCACATTTTGTACACTTTGTGTTGAAATTCATAGGAATGCTTGTTTTCTGTAAATGATTTTTTTATATGAATGTATTCAGACACCTCTAAGCGTTACACATGCCTGTTCTTGTCCACTGGATTGGTGGTGGAAAAAAGGAAGTGAGGGAGGGAATGGTTCAGGCCAAAATGGTCATATTTAGGAGATACCTCAAATTATAACCATTGTTACCTGTGTGCAATTTTACTTAACAGTACTGTGTACATAGTGGACAAGTAAGTTCTTGTATGAAATATCTAGTCTTTCTAGATATTTAGAAGTGCTTGATGCATTTTAAAGTAGAAGTAGTGTAATAATGCTTCTTGTAAATAGCTTTTTAAAACTGATGGGAAATACCGTAATTGGAAATGGAATTGTTAAACCTCCTCTCCAAACAGTATACTCTCTGTGCTTTTTCATTGGGTTGAGGGAGGTGGGAGGGAAGTTTGCAAAAGATGTTTTGCTAGTGTGTACTAGAACATTTCAGCTTACCATTGCTTTATATGTTAAGTGCATTTCATTTAACTTTACTGTATATATTATGTATATATTGGACAAATGGGTCCCAATTTTATAATATCTAGTCTCTAGATATTAAAGAGGTTGCCAATGTATGACAAAAGTAGGGTTAGTAAACTAACACATTTTGTACACTTTGTGTTAAAATTCATTGGAAAGGCTGTCTTCTGAAAAGGACCTTTGAAAGTGAAATTGTAATAAATCACATCTAAGTGATACATGTGCCTGTACTTGCCACCCACTGTTGGATGGATGGCGAAAAGGAGGAATTGGAAGAAATGAAAGGTTCTAGACCAGAATGTTCCTTCGTAGAAGATACCTTCAGGTATAACCATTGTTACATGTGTGTAGTTTATTCAACACTACTGTGTATATAGCGGACAAACTTAAGTCCTTATTTGAAACATCTAGTCTTTCTAGATGTTTAGAAGTGCACAAAGTATGTTAAAAGTAGAGGTAGTGAAATAACATTTTGTAGATATATCCTTTTGTTAAGATTCATATGAAATACTCATTTAGAAATGGAATGATCAGAATGATCAAACCACCTCTCAGAGCAGTACGTATTACTTTATTTGTGCTAGTTCAGGGAGAAAGTACAAGGGGGGTTATACCAGTATGTTAGGCAAGGTTAACCATTGTCCTGTTATATGTCTGCATTTTGGTTTACTTAGTTGTGTATATAGTGTATATAAGGGACAAACGTCCAAATTTACAACATCTAGTCTTCCTAGATGTTAAAGAGGTTGCCAGTGTATGACAAAAATAACCAATAAATACATTGTGTACACTTGATGTTAAAATTCATAGGCAAGACTTCTGAAAACAATTAGCAGAAGTGAAATTGTTAAAATCCTCTCTAAGCATTATAGATGCTTATTAGACTTGTCCACTGGGTTGATAGAGAAGACGAAGGGTCCTTGGCTAGAGTGTTCCTCTTTAGATGATACTTCGAGACTATAGCCATTGTACACAGTGTATTTAGTGCTACTATGTGTATGTATAGTGGACAAACTTAAATCTTTATTTGAAACATCTAGCCTTTTAGATGAGTAAAAGTACACAACATATTTTGAAAGAGAGTTAAACACCTTTTAAGTATTTTTTTTTCTGTTAATAGGAATGGTTTTATTTGGGGAGTGGGGTTGTCTTGGAGAGTAAGCTGACGTTTACTGGGTGGTGGGGGTGGGGGGAGGGGACAGGGAAGGAAGTGCAGAGAGCAGGGCTCTGCCCATCAGTCTTTATAGACAAGTTCAGATTGTCTACCCATTGTTCTGTTTGTGCATTTGAGTTAATATTGCTGTGTGTTAAAGAACAAGCAAGTCCTAATGCCCCAAGTATATTAAGAGTAGAGGTAGTAAAATAACCCCTTAATGAATGCCCTTTTGTTGGTTTTAAGGAAGGGCTGTGTCTTCTGGGAGTATCTATGTTAATCCACCTCTTGGAACTAGATGTAGTCTGGTACTTAGTCGCTGAAATGCTGAAGGAGTAAGAGGAAGGGTGAGGGGAAGGGCTCTTGGCTAATATCTCCCATTATCTGGAAGACAGTTTTAGGTTATAGGTCTGTAATGTGCATTTTTGTGAAGTACCTATGTTTATTGTGGACAAGGTTCATTACTTTGAAACATCTAGGCTTTTTAGATGTCCTGAGGTGACAATGTATGATATAAAGTAGAACTAGTGAGTTAACCAATTTGTAAATATCTTTTTTATAATTGATTTTTTTTAAAAGGCAGCATCTTGGACCTGGAATAATTATACCTTCTCTGAGAAATGTACATCAGGACTTGTTCATTTAGGTTGGCAGCTGAGGGGCGGAAGGAAGTATAGAGNCCCGCCCCATGTCTTGCTATTCTGGCAGCTCTGCTCTTGAAGTGTTTCCAACTTTGCTCAAGCTATTCCTTCTGCCCATAGCGCCCTTTCCACATTTTTCATCTAGCAGAATCATTCACTGCCCTCTCAAACTTTATACACAGTCTTACCTGACACCCCAGAATTAAAGCTGCAGAACCCAATGTCCAAAGTTACACACCTCCCCTCGGCAGCCCCTTTTATATGGAACCCACTGTGGATTGAACTCTGGCTTAAATCTTAACCACGGGGCAGCACAATGCCTGACACAGCAGGTGTTTAGGAAGTGTCCATTAAATACAAAAGAGACAAAATCTCTGCTCTTCAGACCGCCTTGTTGTATGATACAGCTGCTGCTGACACTGGTTGAATACTCAGGGCTTCCCAGGCTGGCAGTTCCTGTCAGATGACCCAACCAGAGGGTGAAGGTAGGGTGCGCACACCCACCCTCAAATCAGGCATGAAACATTCTCTAATGGAGTATCGGAGGGTTTCTTAAACCTGGCTTTGAGGGCAACACTGGAGACTCCAAATGTCAGGAGGTGGTATTTCTAGTGCTTCCCTGGGGCTGTGTGTATCACAGGTGGGCCAGGAGCCAGTGAGGGCGGGAGAGGCAGCCCTTCCCCTTGCCATCTCTTGTCGCTGCCCCTAAGAGACAGGTGTTAGCTGACGGAGATGGGCTTCAGGGAGGCACATATGCCTGGAACCCCTGACCTAGAAGGGGAGAACTAGGTGCATTTGAACAGCTCACCCCAGGCTAGGACCAGTCTGCGGCCCAATCCACAGAGCTGGGTAAAAGCTGAAGCTCTCTAATTTAAGGCAGAGTCGCCTATAAAGGTCTGCAGTGTAGAGAGAAGGCAGACTCATAAAGAGTTAAAGAGACAAGGTTAGGTGTTTCCCCAGTGTCTCAGTGGTAAAGAATCCATCTGCCAACCCAATCTGGGTTCAATCCCTGATCTGGGAAGATCCCACATACCACGGAACAACTAAGCCCATGTGCCAAACTATTGAGCCTGTGCTTTAGAGCCCAGGAGCTGCAACTATTGAGCCCATGTGCTGCAGCTGCTGAAGCCTGCATGCTTTAGAACCCGTACGAAAGAAACCTGTGCACTGCAACAAAGAGTAGACCCCACTCCCTGCAGCTAAAGAAAACCCGCAGAAGAGGGAAGATCCAGCACAACCCAAAAATAAATGGAAAAACAAAAAAGAAAGACAAGGTTAGCCCTCAGAAAGGCAGTCCTGGACCCCCAGGGCAAAGCTAATCCTCAGTGGACAGAAGAGGAAAAGGTAAGTCCACAGAGGAGCAGACCGCACCAGGATCACATCTCAGAGCTAACAACATGCGTGACCAGGGGAAGAGCACTGAAGGAGTCAGATGCCTCCGCTCTCGTTTAAGCTGTCTCATGAGCGGGGAAACCCTGGCCCCTTGATCCCATCTGGGCCTCAGCCCCCATCTCTGGAAATGAGAGGTTTGTTCCAGCTGCTCGATGAGCTGTGCCTCTGCAGTCGCTGGGCCTTTCAAAGACACACATTTCGTCAACAGCAGAGCCTGGGCCAGAAGTTTCTAAGTCCCATTCTCTACTAAAAGGAAGCAAGGTCCTTGGAGAAATGGTTAATTCCAAGGGCTGCAACAGGAAAGTACAAAATCATCCTGGACTACCCCAGGGCAGCAGAAAAGAAAAGAGTGCCTCAGAGAATGGCAGGAACACGTCAAAAGGACCCCAGAGGCAAGCTTGAAGGGGCTTCCATTGGCCTAATCTGTGACAATTTGTGCATCAAAATAGAAAATAAGATTATAACACATTGAATAAAATAGAGAGCTATGAGGCCAATGCCAATGTAAATTAACAAATAGTAGTCATGTATGGATGTGAGAGTTGGACTATAAAGAAAGCTGAGCACCAAAGAATTGATGCTTTTGAGCTGTGATGTTGGAGAAGATTTGAGAGTCCCTTGGACTGCAAGGAGATTCAATCAGTCCATCCTAAAGGAGATCAGTCCTGGGTATTCATTGGAAGGACTGATGCTGAAGCTGAAACTCCAATACTTTGGCCACCTCATGCGAACAGCTAACTCATTGGAAAAGACCCTGATGCTGGGACAGATTGAGGGCAGGAGGAGAAGGAGACGACAGAGGACGAGATGGTTGGATGGCATCACCAACTCAATGGACATGAGTTTGGGTAAACTTCGGGAGTTGGTGATGGACAGGGAGGCCTGGTGTGCTGCAGTCCATGGGATCACAAAGAGTCAGACACGACTGAGCAACTGAACTGAACTGAACTGAAATGCAAAGTATGCTAAGGAAGGGGGTATTTACACAGTTTCAAAGCATCTGCTCACAAAATACTTATTAAAAGTGAATGAGATACACTCAACAGAGTGAAA